TAGAAATCGAACATGGAAATTGTAAAATTCCCGGCTGGAGATTGATTATCTCCCTGTTTTATATTATCAAACATCTCCCGCGCTACGCATGGGAAAATGCGACAGGGAACAAAAAAAAGGGTGGGGTCGCGGTATTCGTTTAGGAGCAGGAGGACCTTCGATAAGCCTCATAATTCCTAAAACTATCTGCTTCGGTAGACGCTTATATTTGAATCATTCACTTAACGTTTTGTGAGGGCAGACAAATAGGTAAATTCAACAATGGTTGTATTGTTTCAATGTTAATGAGCAATTTGATGTACGTTTTTTATTTCATGATAAAGGCACCCCTATTTAGTTGGCAGGGATTCAGTATATTCTAAGCGCGCAGTGTTCTTGAGGCCGCGTGTTATCTTTTACGAGTGCTAGCTATGCTCTCATTTTCAGTGATAATTTTTTTTACTCTGCAGTAGAAATTGTTCTATATTCACTGTATAGAACAAAGGTGATCGCTGCATTCAAACTGAGTAAAAAAATCGTTAGGTCCCGGTACTCGTTTTCGAGAAAAAAGCAATGATTTGCTTCTCGCAAACCAAGCCGTTTAGAAAAAGCCACCATTTCGCATATGTTGTATATGCACGGGCCGGAGCGCGCGCAAATGACTCGAAAATCGTGCGCAGCAGGGATGCGCAACGCAATTCTGAGGAATAACCTAAGTGAAGTTGCATCCCACCGGTGAAACAACAGCCTCTCGCTGCAGGCGGTATATTTCATTTTAATATTCCGGCCTATTGATGAACTTAGGTCAATAATTGATCAGGAAAATTCTTAAAATGTTTCCAGTATCTTGCCCAATGGATAATATCGACCTGTTTTTGTTTCATTAAGAAGATGGCCGCCATGTCCACTTCTCATAGAGGTGGATTCGGAACCACCATGCAATTCGAGCCAAGAAAGAACATTTACGTGTGAATTTTTGCGCGCAATTACAGGAGAAAAGTGTCAAACACAATGTGAAGATGTGTACAGTCGAACCTCCTGTAAGCAATTACGGGAGGTGGTCACTTACGAGAGCTTAGACCATATTGGGTCAAACTTTAGCCTCATTAGTTACCATATGGTAACTGAACAGACTAACTGCCAATGCACCAATGCTGATTCAAACCCCTGTAAGAACTTTTAGAAGCCACAAAAATATTTAAGCTTCCCAAAGTTATTTATTCAGAGTATCATGGTTCGTTTCTGATCAACTACCTAATAAGGCGAACGCAAGAAATCTCACGAAAGTTGCAAATTGAATTTTTGATGTTGTCTACGCGTTAGGGGGAGCTAAACATGAATTTTAATTCAGTTTAAAATAAGGATTAGACAGCTAGCTTTAAATTTGACCGCCCCTTTATTTTAAACCTAAGGGGTTGTCTTGCTCCAATTTCCGCCCTGCTATCTTTCAGTGGTCGCTTTCGGGAGATTAAAAACAAATGAAAATTTCAAACTTTTAGCACCAAAAGTGGTCGCAGTCGCTTACGAAAGGTGGTCGCTCACAAGAGGTTCCAAATGTATTGATTTGACTTGGAAATCTTTGGTATTGCCGAGGAGAGGTGGTCGCTTACGAGAGGTGGTCGCAACGGAGGTTCGACTGTATACACATTTCAAGCTAAATTGTTACAGCTGTGTACTCTCGTGCAAGCTGCCAGGATAATGCCCTCTGACAGTGTATTGAGATTTATAGAGCAAGACAGTGTCTCAAAGTTCGACCAATAGGTACAGCTGTACTATGAACTAAATAGACGCAACGTGGCGAGCTTGTTGGCAATGAACGGAGCTAACAAATATATGGGCCAATCTAGGAGAAGCTAAGATATTTTGCTAGATTATACCGCGAGATAGTAGCTAAAATACAGACATGAATAGTGTTTGTGCAAACTGCTAAAATAAGGGAACGTTCATTCATGAATTCAGCATTCAGAATTATACTTTTGTTTATCCTGACGGATTGCGTGACAAACGTAAACAGCGTAACCCTCAAGGGGTGTCATGTTCCATTAATTGCGTTTTACCGACCAGTAAAAGCGGTATATATATGTTTCAAACACATTGAAAATATATAACCTTTCTTCAGTTAATTTCTGTCTCCTTTATTTAACGACGCCATGGCCATATACTAAATATCCACACACGAACTTCAATGACAATGACATTGAAAGTTTCGGATCACGTAAAAGACAGTAAGTCATATTACTCGGTACATAATTGCCTCGAAGGAAACGTTTCCATGCAAACTTTTCAAGGAAAGAAAACTTAAACATTATTGCGAATTTAAAAACGCACGACTAAAATTTACATCACCTACAGAAAGTATTTAAGAAAATTTTATGTCCAATTTTATGATTTTCTTTAGTTTCGTCATTTTCTTTTTGATTTCTTGTCGTTTCTTCTCGTCCGTTTAAAAATAATTAGCTGGCATATTTCATGAGATAGAAGGGTATGTGTAATAATTAAGCAATAGGGCAATTTTTCCGTATTCACATATTAATCTCATGCATCTAAACACAAGGGGCGGTGAATTCGATAGAGTTATGCAAACTCGAGACGCAGTGGAGAGTTTGCATAACTTTAATTCATCTAAACACACCAATTGACCAATTAGCACGCGCGTTATATCTCAAGTAGTATATTTAATAAATGTTTATAGAAATATGGAATATATCATAATTTTCTTTTGTACTGCTGTCCGCTCGCCCGCTACGTTACAGTTCACACTACTGGCAAATAACGAAAAGGTGAGAAAATGTACTCTAGCAAATAATTCCCTCCAAAAAAATTCAAATTTACTGTGTGACCACTCCAGTCATAATAATTGTCTTCAAAATGAGCAATGTTTAAACAATCAAAATCACAAATTTACTGTTTCCGTAGAGTATAGCTTGTTCAGATCGATAATCAGCATGAAAACAGAATTTGTACAGAATTTGTTTAGTTGTCTGTTTGGTTAAGAGTAGTCGCAGCGGTGTTGAAGTTTAAGTATGACTGATCGATAATTCCGGTATAATGTTAGTCTACGTGAATCACTCATTAAGTCAAAGTGGCTACAGCAGATGGCCTTGTATATAGAACATCAACAAATAAATAAGGCCTTTCCTGTGCTCTGTAATTTATCATTTAATTAAACAGTGAGTGAACGTCTTCTCTGTTTGCCTGTGTTCGCTTGCTTTGAACCCCACGACGGATGTTGAAACCGAACGGTGAAAGCTCAACTGACATGGGTTAAGCATTATCGAAACTTACACGGTTTTTATACCAGAAATGATTAATGACTGTTACAAGATAATTAATTTTGAACATCAAAACAAAAATCGGCCAGCAATATACAAATAACCGTGGTGAGATCGACAAGAATGGGTGTAATACTTGTCGTGTGCACCTTAAATAATACATGATTCATGTCACGCTAATAGAAAACGTTTAAGGAACATCGCCAAGACGAAGGCATTATACTGAATCAAATAAAATCATTTCTCGTTGGGATGAATATATCTATAAAAATATGATTATTCTTTTTTTTCTGTATTACATGTTTGGACGTATTTTCTCTTCACTGATGAAGACTGACAAGGCAGCCGGAATTGTTTCCAGGGCCGTAGTTGGAAACAGGCAAACAGAGGCGCTTGTCTCAGCCATTCTTTTCTTCGGTTTTGTTGTTAATAGTCATCAAAAACACCGTAAAAACCTAAGAAGAGAAGGTACTACTGAAATGAAACTTACGATTGAATTTCACCTGTGAATTTGCACATTTTCTCTGATGTTTGAAATTTATTTTCTCGAGTTTCCAACGGAAATTTCTTTGGTGTTGTTTCAGGCAACTACATTTATAGAGATCAAAAGACCAGAGAAGTCTCGCTTAAGATGGCTCCCTACAGTTTTACGATTGCACGCGCGCATAGGACTAAAGCTCAAGTAATCACTGTAATCTGCGGGCGCTCAGAGGAAAACGTCAGTGTTTTTCGATTTTTATGACGTCAAAACGAGCACAAAAAGCAAAACTGGCAGTGAATTTTCTCGCGTTTCCTTCGGTGAATTTTTTAAAATTTGGCTCAGTTGTAACCACATACAATTCCTATAAAATACCCTATTTTTATTAAAATCTGTCAGAGCTAATCTAATATATTTAGAAGAATGACAAATTACAGAATATTGAAAAACCGTCTGAACAACCTTGACTTTTTACCAATTCAAAATGTCAGGCAATATCATTTCCATGATGTGGCAAAGTATGAAAAAATTTCACCGAAGGA